TTTTTTACGAAATTTTATCTGCTACTCTATTTTATCTTTTATGAATAAGCTGAAAATAATGATGATGATGATGATTAATAATTTAGGTTTTATATTTATTAAAAAAAACTTGTTTCCGCACAATATCCTTCTAAAACTGAAATCATTTTTCTGCTAAAATTTTTATGAAATGAATTTCGAAAACACAAACCTGTCCTTCTCGAAAAGTGCAGCAAAATTAAATTTATTCAGCCTCTATTATGTGCATATTTTTACATTGTTTATTTAAAATCTGAATTTAGCTTACGCTCCATATTAAAGTTTGGCCAGAATACAATAACTAAACGAAACACAATATGGCTGTATGATATTATAAAAGAGAATATTGAAAAATTAAATTGAAATAAATTGGCTGGCTTGACTTTTTTATTTTTATTGGAATACGAGCTGGCGTTTGTAATTAAAAAAGTTTATATGTTTTGAATATCAAAGTTAATAAATTTTTCGGAATTATTTATTATATTTATTAAATATTAATATAGGGATAGTATATTTTAACCCCAGGAATACGATTATGAGGTTTTTTTCGTAAAAAAAATTGAAAATTTAGAATTTTTTGAAAAACATGTTGGATTTTTTTTTAGATTTTAGTTAAAAAACATAATTTCTTGGTAATACGGCAATATAGGCGGTAGATTAAATTTACAAGAAAGAAACCCCAGAAAAGATCCAGTGGTTCTCAAAATTTAAGCAAAAAACTTTTATTTTTGGAAATTTTCAAAGTAGAATAACTCAGTTATTTTGGACTAATTTGAAAACTATTTACTATTACTCTTCATTTAAATTAAACTATACAGTTGACGAGTTAGAACAATTTTCTATGTTTCTTTTAGTTGATTTTGACCTATTTTTTTACTCCCCAGCAAAGATAGAATAGAATACAGTTTACACTGACACTGAAAAACGACACAAAAGCAACCGAAAAGAGTTTTTTAGCTCTGCAAACCCTTTAAATAAATTTACCTACTTATTTTGAGCGAGAAAAACCTTGCTAAAATTAATTCATCTTCGTCAGGCTAGGAATAGATAAAAGAATTTAAAAGTAACTTAATTTCAACCCAGCCAGGATACGCGCTATTTCGAGATGAAAAAGTAAAATTTAATTATTGGAAATTCTTAATAGAATTAGTAATTAAAGGAAGCTTTCGCCGCTCTTGGGGTAATTAGCAATTCAAATTTATTTAAAATATTAATAAAAGCATTGCTACGTTTGTATTAATGATACAATACGAACGAGAATTGTTTTAATTTAACTTAAATAATTTTTTCATAGCTATTGCATACTATTTTATATAACTTATGGTGGATATGGTCGTCTTCAAATAAATCTCTCTTCTTAACATGAGATTAATCTACATATTATTGTAATATTTCATGCTCTTTTTTTTAAATCTCATGTTACTTTTTTAATCTTCCAGTTCCGTACCACTTTAGCATGAGATTCATCTGAATATTTTAGTTTTAAATCTCATTTTTTTTGGCTCAATGTCATGCTTTTTAACATGAGATTTGTCGAAAAAACAAATACTTATTGTTCTTGTTTATACAATTTTATTTTAGATATGATGCTCCCTTCAAAGATGTCTCAGGTTACTATCATCATATCTTTATATCCCGTGCTCTTTAACATGAGATTTATGTACAAATTATTGTTATATTTCATGCCATTTAAACAAATCTCACGTTTAATCTTCGAATTCCATACCTTTTTAACATGAGATTTATCCATCAATTTGATTTTGTTGCACATCTGAATATTTTAATTCTAAATCTCATGTTTTTGGTTGAATTTTATGCTTTTTAATATGAGACTTGCCTAAAAAACAAATTGCTTACTACTGTCGTATAATTTTATGTTAGACTCTTCGAGCAAGTCTCATGATAGTAGATATATCTTAATCTTCAGGTTCTATACTTCTTAACATGAGATTGATCTAAAAATTATTATTCCATCTCACGCTATTTAAGCAAATCTCATGTTATCATTGTTTTAACCTTCAAGTCCCATACCTTTTAGCATGAGACTCATAAACAAATATTATTTTGTTTTACATCTGTATATTTTAGTTCCTAAATCTCATGTTTTTGGCTGAATTTCATGCTTTTTAACATGAGATTTATCTAAAAAATTGATTTTGATTAAATCTAATTATTTTTAACTAATTTTCATGCTATTTTATATGAGCTTTAGCCAAAAAAACATAATATACACTGACTAAATAATACTTCAAGATTCTCATGATATGTAACATAATATTCGATTATAGATCATGCTCTATAGATACGAAATATTCACTTGAAGTAATGGAAGATTAAAATTTGATGTTTTCATTTGACTTCTACCCTATTAGATACTTTATTATAGATACTTTATCATAATATGCCTCAAGTTTCTGTTTTTTTTATTGATTTTTTGTTATTTTTTCCCTGTCACCCACACAGACACATTAGTCTCATCTATATATAACTTCTAAATATTAAATTATGTGTCTTATTTTTCGAAACTCTCCAGAGAGCAAAAAAGAAGACGCCAAATTTTATGTAATTTATTCTGAGATAGGTGGACTGTCATTTTTCGTCCAGAAAACTTCATTCAATTTTCGCTCCAAAAAAAGGGAGAAGAAAAATGGGGAATATAATTATTTTTTGTTGGGGTTTGAATAATATTTGTGTTAATTTTTATATTTTTATGCTTATTTTTCTTTATTACTTTTGATAATAAAGGGAGGTATTATAGTGAAATGGGGCTACAGGGTGTTGAAATACTATATTTTTTATACAATATCTATAATATTATACATGCCATTTAAAATACAATAATTATATCCCTTAATAAACAACATAGAGTCAATATTGGCCTTTTTCGAAATCAAACTGCCAAAGGTAATTGAATTCCGCCATATTCCAATAGTTCTTCTCTCCGATTTTTATAGCATTGTTGTGATCTTCAGGGGAGTGCACATGATTTTAGATTTTGCCGATGTTCAACAAGGCCCAAAGCCTCGTATGCCCAGGTATATGTGTTCAGCATTTCTTGTAATTGTTGTACCGTGTTTACCACCGGCTAGAGGCGCGATCGTCAGCGTATTGAAGTTCTATGTGATAAATTTTGTACGTGTTTTTGCCCTGAGTCTTTTTATGTTGAACAGGAGCCGCCGCCATATCTGTATCTAATGCCCCAATCCTCTCTCCTGCAGTTTGCTGTCAACTAATGGAGAGCGCTGCTTCGCAGATATGATGTTGAATAGGGAGAGGCGCTTCGTTATCCTGCCTAACTCCTGTATTTGGTAGGAATGGGTCGCTCAGTGATCCATGATGTGATACTCTTGACTTATTGTTGTTATGGAGGCTTTTACACACTGTGAGAAATTTGTTGGGTACTCCGAACTTTTTTCATAATTGCCCAAGCGCATCTCTGTTCACAGAGTCGAAGGCTTTTGTTAAGTCGATGAATGCGACATAAAGTTTAGACTGCTGCTCTTTTACTTTTTTCCTGTAGTTGACGGATGGAAAATATATGGAATCGACAGTGCCGCGGTTGGTGCGAAAACCGTTTGCGATTCTGGAAAAATTTTTTCTATATGTGGGTGCAGGCGGTTTGACATTGTTTTTGCAAAAATTTTTGCCGCCGATGGCGCCAATAGCGAAATTCCCCGGTAATTTCACGGTCACGATGCACTTTCGCTGTTTCTTAAATATATTTCACTATATTCGCATTGCGAAAATACTGAGGTACCTCTCCGCTTTCCCATGCGACATCAAAGAGAGCCTCAAGATGACCAATAAGTTCTTTACTTGCACACTTATAGATTTCCGCCGGAATATCGTCACAGACAGCTGATTTGTTGTTTTAAGCTGTTTTATGGAGTCTTTTTATTTCTTGTTCTGTTATTGGGATGGCCCTGGCACATCGAAGGCTGTTATACTGAGGTATTGTGTTTAGTGGTTCCATATTTGGGTTGTTTTCTTGGTTATGGATATGGCTGTAATGTTCTTTCAAGCGATTTCTAATTTGTTCTTCCTCTTTTAGAAGTTCGCCATTTTGAGCCATGATTGGGCAGCTTACCTTCTTAGTTGGGCCGTATACTTCTTTTACAGCCTCGAAGAATTTACGATAATCGTGGTGCGTGGCGTACTCTTGAATCTGATTTCGCTTTTGTGACCACCAGTTATCCTTTACTTGGCGCAGTTCTCTTCAAAGCGTGTTGTTGGCTGCTCTAAAGTTGTCTACCAGTCTTGGATTGTGTGGATTTGCAGTGACGGCTTGATATGCTCTATGCTTTTGTTCCAACAAAGCCTGTATATGCGGTTGATTTTCGTCAAACCAGTCTGGTTGTTTCTTTTTGTTCGACTTTCCCAGTACTGCTTCGCTGGTTTTATGAATCGCATCCCTTAATTGTCGGAAACAATCACCAGTGTTATCAATGACGTTGGAGAGTCCAAGAAATTCCGCTATATTTTTTGGCATAAGTTTTGCATACTTACAAAATACATGTCAGAAATTGATTGGTCCCTCAGTAAACACTCTTGGAAAATGAGTTTTGGTATTCGGAATCTACACACTAATAAATGACTGACAATCTTTAATGGCATCTACGGTCAAAAACGTGATTTCTTCCCTCCTACATGCTCCAAATACTTACACATACTACAACGATTAAGACAACTTTAGCTAACAGGAATTCTTTGTCATCGGCTTCTTTTATAAAAGAAAGCGTTCTATTTCAGTTTGTAAATACTTTTTGATTTCTTTGCCTGATATCCAGAAGCTTTTCTTTTTAAAAATACAATAAGGTTTGTGAATTTGCTAATATCTACGGTTCTGTTCAGATATTTGCTTCATGGTGAGGAGCGAAAAATATTCCAAAAATTAACAAAAAATAAAAAGTATCGTAGTTTTGGAGATATTTAAAAATTTAAACAAAATATTTTACTACAATTTTTTTTTCATTATATTTCAGATGTCAGAAATACTTATCGGTAGCTGACCGAAGCGACGTTGCCGACGCGCTGAATTTAAGCGAGACGCAGGTGAAAACGTGGTACCAGAATCGCCGCACCAAATGGAAACGTCAAAATCAGCTGCGCCTGGAACAGCTGCGCCACCAAGCGTCGGTGGAGAAGGAACTGTTGAACGTTTCGAATTTGAGGAAAGTGGAGGCGCAGCAGCAGTGCTGTCCGCCATCTTTGCCCAGGTACGGTGCTCAGAGCCCGTGCACCTTTCTGAGCACGGCCGCGGCCGCCATATTTCACAACGTCACATACGTACACGGTTGCCAGTTGTAAACGATACTGCTTGCAACATTCAAAACCAATGAGATTCTAAAAAGCTGCGTCCACATTGCTCGCGAGCAGGCCGAACGAACACGTGAAACACGAAAAACATGGCAAACAGTCGGGGCGAGATGTTCGCGTTGCTCCACGTGCTTGCGATCTCATGAAATGCCCGTTTCGACTGTTCGGCTCTGTTGCGGTACATCAAAAAGACATCGAACCCACACCCGAGCATACTTTACGGCGCGGCGGTTCGAAGTGCTCGAGCTGTTTGCGTTGTTTGTTAAGTTTTTAGTTTGGTTTCATTCATAGGATTCGGTATTTACTGCAGTATGATGATACTACCATGATTTTTCTTATATTATTTTATTCAGATTTACAAATATTTGTGTTTTGTTCTTGGATTAATAATGTTAAATATACCTTTAATAAAATATAACTCTATATTTATGTTGCCTACTTATCTTAATCTGACCTTTGAGAACTTTATTTATATATTGGTATACGCGTGGTATTATTTTTGAATGCTTTGCTTGGAAACTCTGAATAAATAACCCAAACTGGTATGTGAGTCTCTAGTTGTAAGGAATCTTAATGTTATGGCCAATTTTTATTTAACTCTTTCTTTAACCGGAATACACTTCGTAAAAGTTGTATTCTTTCTTTCTATACCGGGACCAAGTGCCAACTAAGAAGAGTCTTTCAAAATCAGTTGCGGACATACTATAAAAATTATTAAAAAAACATTCTGTCTGTTTGTAAATCGCCTAGATGTTTACTTTTACTGTGCTGGGATCTACTTTTGAAATTATTAGACATCCAACTCCGCCTTTTTTTCTCTTTGCCTCCTTCGTTTTGCAATAATGATCGCACTAGCAGCCGCTATTAAAAATATTCGGTATCATCCATGTCCGAATAGCACGAACGCAAGCACTACATTACAATGTGGACACCGTTGCTTGCGAGCCGAAAGATCTTGAGAAACACGACAAACAGGCAGCGCAAGCAACGCAAGCACAATCAGAAGCAAGAGCGCGAGCAGGATAACGAGCAATGTGGACGCACCTTAAGGAAAAATCTAACTTTTTGCTTAAATCGAATCCAGAGCTGTATAGATAATTATCTATATTCAATTATACAGGGTGTGCTATTTTCATGTGTTTTGCTGGGTTTCTCGTTTATAAGTAGAGATACAATGATGCAATTTTCACATTACTATGCTACTTTCTTACGAAACTAAAGATACTAGGGATATTTGGTATGATCGAAAAAGTCGTTTAGTTGGCTTGTAATTTCCAAGCCAACTCTGACTCGAAAAATGCAACACTTTCAGATTTGCTCTGTATTTCAGGAGCTAAGAGGGCTGAGGACTAGGACAAACCTGTGTGTAGGATCTTTGGTTTCATAGAAAAGTAGCACAGTGGTGTGAAAACCGCATCTTTGTATCTATACTCATAAACGAGAAACCCCATAAAACACACCAAAATTGAACGCCCTGTATTTTGGCACAATATTTTTTGATTGAATAAAAACAAAAATAAAGGCTCTTGTAAATATGTAAGAGTATTATTAGACGAAAAACCACAAATCTTGATGTTATTACCTGTAATTTAATATTTTTGTTTAGATATCAGTGCTATTTTTTCAGTTTTATTTTAAAGACTATACTAAGTACTAAGGAATAGCACATTATATAGAGGTAGTGAATCAGCCTAAGAATTATATCTAATATCGTGACATCCAAAAAAAGCAGAACACTCACTAGTCACTAGCGAACATGTTGGGGAACAAACAATCCAACATACATACTGGGAAACTTGTTGACGACAAGTCAATTTGCCAACATGTTCCCTATAGTGAGTGGCCCGCTTTAAAGAAAAAAATTTCCCCGGGAGGCACGTATAGGCGCCCATACAAAATTATGTCAATATCTCGAAAACTGCGACTTTGACTGATTTTGATGTTATTACAAATTTTGTTGCAAATATTATTCCTAATCTTAATTTGAAAACCGCGTTTCGCTAGCTATTGTAATTTTGGAGTTGCTATTTTTTTAAATTTTTAACCCCCTCCCATACCCCCTTACCAACCCCCAACCACCACCAAAAACTAATAGCCAGATTCTCGGGTGCCACAGTATTTTTGTGCCAAATTTGGTTAAAATCGGTTCAGCGGTTTTTGAGTTATCGTGTTACAGACGGCAGACGGACAGACGGACAGACAGACAGACAGACAGACAGACAGACACCATGAAAATATTTTGTATTTAATCATTTATGACCCAAATAACTAATTTTGAGTGAAATTAAAAAAAACTTTTTTTTACCGATCTTAATAGTCTACCATACCTATTGGTATGGTCGGCTAAAAAACTATTGTTGAATTTAAACGACATCTGTCACAAATGTCACATGTTCTTTGGCTGAATATACGCTAAACTATATATTTTAAATAATTTTATTAATAATAATGTTATTTGTTTCGAATAGCTTGATAAAATGTAATTAATACTAGTCATTTATTTAGTGATATTTAATCTTTATTTTTTTATGTTTGTTTGTTATTCTTTAGCATTTTTAGGTACCTACAGTAAAATTAATTTTATTGTTAAGAATCATGTAGAAAGAAATTGTATGTTAAAAAGGTACGTTTGTGTTAAAAATAAAATATTTATACAATACTTTTGAGTTGTTTTTTCTTTGTGCGCTTAAAGGTCTTGAGAACCATTAGATCCTCTTAGCGCTTTTTACCAAAGGAACATCTTTTACGTAAAAAAGCGACGAAAAGTATCTTTTCACTCAGTAGTGTCAGTAGTGTAATATTGTTTCGGACGAAAAATCAAAAAGACACAGATACAAATGTTTACTCAAATATCGGCGCACAGTGGGGTATTTGACACTGATAGTTGATCGAAATTTTTTTATGTAGACCTTATATAAATTATTGCTATTTTCAATTAAAGAGGAAATATTATGAACAAAATGAAGGATAATTCGTCGATTCTAAAAAAAGAAAAATCACTGTTCCAGTGTTTCCACGGTCAGTGCCAGTAGTAATATCGCAACTACTACTACTAATGCTAATACTGATCCGCGAGCAATGCCCATACCACTAAAGTCGCTACTAATGCCAAACTGTGCTATACTGCTAATGGCACTAATGCGATCACTTTGTACACAACAATGCCATCGCGGTTTACACCTCGCATCACTGATTGGCAAATTAGAGGAAACCAAGAATGTTTTTCTCATTTTATCTGCAAAATAGCAAAAAGTCGCAGTATTTTATTTTACTGTATGAAAGCCCAATGTTTACTAAGTAAAACGTATATAGACAATATGCTGAATTCTTCGAAATGCGCAACTAAATCTCTAAGTATAATAAAAATGTCACAAATTTAATCAAATTTTCTGAACGCCTAACTTTTAGTTGCAAAAAAAATCGTTAGTATAGAGAATATCAAAATAAATAATACGTTTTTGTAGAATACATACCTGCAGCTTGCTGAGCCATTTTCAATCAAAACGATAATATAAACGTAAAAAGAGCACAAGAACAACAACAATTTATAATTTTAAACAAAAAATTTAGCCATTTACCTCTTATCTGTGAGAAGTAACAACTTAGACGTTTCGTTGAAACAAATGAATGCAACTAAACACACCCATAGCAACGCCATTCATGGCAGAGATGATTTAACTTATCATTTATCTTTTTTTGGGAAATCTTAAACACATTTGCTTTTTCGAATTTCGATCACCTTTTTCATGCTAATACCCCACCGTGCGGCGTTAGTTCATAAATTAGTTAGAAAAAATCGAAATAAAAACAAAACCGTTGATTGAAGAAATAAGATCTGTCCGAGAATTTCGAAATTTAGGTTAGCTCTGCGCCGCTGCGCGCTGACCGTCGCGTCGTTTACAGCGCAGCGGATAAAGAATACTCTACCGTAGTTCTGCTCTCAGTCGACAGAGTGAGTGGTTGCCGGAGACAGTGTTGCCAGAACTACTGATTAATCCGTAAATTTACGGATTGTGGGTACAATACTTTACTAATACGGATTTTCTATCATTAAATAATTTAATATAATATGTCTCCACCGTACCTACAGCACTTGAGACGTAAGGGAAAATCAAAGCAGCTTTGTCACGAATTCGCCCATTAGGTTGGGTATCTTCCCAATTCTCCCAATCGTTCAATCAACGATGAAACTTCTTCACCCTGTCCTGTATCTTCTAAACGAAGCATTTTAGGACATAAATTTGTAATTACTTTTTTTACATATTTTTATCGGCATAGTGTATATGCTGCCGAAGTTTAGAAAGTATCTACGGTAAACAAAAACGTTAAAGAAATCACTTTATACAGGGTGATACGAACTGTATTCCGGAAACTTCGGCAGAATATTCTGCAGATAAACTTTGTATAAATTTTTGTCCTAAAATGCTTAGTTTCTGAGATACAGGGTGTAGAAGTTTCATTTTTATTTAGATTTTTTCCAGATAATTTCGGAACTAACGTCAATATTTGGAAGAAAATTGGAGTTTTTTGATATGAGAAATTTTATTTTGAGGTCAATACGACTCCTACTTGTAGAGGGCGCCACCTACGTATTTTTTAACTGTTCTGAAGAGAAATCACTTTTCGTCCGTACCTGTATAAAACTACTGAGTAAAAAAATATACACTAACGACGTTTTTTACGTAAAAAAGGTCTCCTGGTAAAAATTGCTACGAGTAATGGTTCTTGAGATATTTGGAATCGAAATTATACTAAGGGTCGGCATTTCTGGTCTTGGGTGCTGGTTTTCATGTGTATGAAGAGTACGGCCAGCACGCTTAGTAAAATAAGATGTACTGAATAAAGACAGAAGGCGAGTATTTTCGCAAGCGCATGGAATCTAGCGTCAGATTAAGTAGTTATGTAATAAATCCTTCGTATTTTTGCTCACTCCGGCTTACTAGATTGCCATAACGACTCACTCCTACACATGTAAACGCCGACCCAAAGGTTCGCTTGCCAGCAGGGGTGGATGGGCCATATGGGAAAACGGGAAAATTCCCGGTGGGCCAGTCCCGATCAGAACTCAAAAAAAGATTGATTTAGTAAAAACTAAATG